TACGCAGTCATTGCTGTCTAGACAGGCGCTGCAGTGTACACAAGCAGCTGTGGCGCACAAAGGCGTCGTGGCGCATGCTAGACAGGCGCTGTGGTGTACGCAAACATGGTCGGCCAACAACGAAGCCGTGCCCCAGGCCAGAAAAAACAATAAGCACAAATAACTTACATATAGAATTTGATGCGCTCGGCCCCCCCACGGATTTTTTACATTTCGGGCCCCAGCGGGACCTTGGAGGTGCGCGGAAGCGCTGTGGCACAAATGTTTGCCATACGCTGTTGTGCACGTTGTTCGTGTGGTGTGCACAGGCATCGGGGTGTACACAGGCGCTGTTGTGCACACAGAAGCCTCTGCTGCAGTAGCACCTGTGGTGTGCAAGACCATTGTGGCGCTCGCACTTTTCGCAGTGCTCACAGGCAGTGTGGTGCACTCGTGTTCAATAGATTTCGCGGCTACGCTTAGCAATCGCATCCCGCGTATTCCAAGGCGAGCTGTCCAGATATCCCTAGGCATTCTCAGACGGCGCCCGCATCGTCGCAGCACCAATAGGAGCATCGCTGCAGCATCATTAGCAGCTGTACGGGCCGCAGCACCGATGCGCGCGGGCATATGCAGGGCTGCCCACAGCGCGAAGGTTAAGTTATCAGCCAGCCCCCTCCCCCCCTGCGGAAAACCCAGGTTATCGCCGATTCCAGAAAAATGGTCTCCAAAACATTGCATCGACGTGTTTCGATCGTCCAGCCCGCCCGTCCCCATTTGATCCGAGCAATCTCGGCGGGGGCACAATTGGCGGACAGCCTGGGGCGGGTATTGCACGCATTCGCCAGGGAGCTCCGTCGAAGACATGGGCGACTGGAGCTCCTGGATACATGCCACAGGCCCCCGGCCCAGATATCCGACGTCGCGGGTTTGTTCGCAGCGTGGCCCCCCAGAGGTCTGGACCCCTTCCCGGGGGACCGGCTTCTCATCCAGACAGGGTTCGTTTCGATTCTTCCGATTCGATTCGATTTCGATGGCTTCCGATTCCGATTCGATTCGATTTGGGATTCAGATTTGGGTTCCGATATTTGACGCATACCAGCCCGCAGATTTCCGCCGATGCGACTTTTCCCGATTTGGCTGCCGACTTCCACCGATTCGATTCATGTCGACCGCCGATCCGACTTATCGATTCGATTCTGGGCTCTCTTGTTCTAGGCCTCCTAGATGGGGTCGGAGTAGATGGAGTCGGAGGATCGCGCCGCATCGGTGCATCGCCTATACATCGCCGATGCATCGACGATGTATCGGCGATGCGGCGCGGTCCTCCGACCCCATCTACTCCGACCCCTTCTAGGAGGCCTCTACCTGACCAGAGCTATTCATTGACGGCCACCGGGTCCGGCAAGGGTCCCCGGAGGCCGAGGCTCGTCGAAGCCGTCCGCCGTGACTCGTTGCATGACGCGGGGGCCTCAGAGGAGGCCCTCCGCCCCTTTGTTGCAGCTGGTGAGGCTCCGGGCTGCGCACACGGCCCCCCAAGGTAGTCTTAAGCCGGGCCTGTCCCTCTACAGGGGGAATATTTAAAGATAGTCACAAAATACTCTGGGGACGGTTTCTTTGAGTATTTTTGGGCATGTTCGGTGCATTGTCTGATTATCTTTATTTGTTGTTCAATATCCGCGTGTAGGGGGACATACCCGACCTAGAGGTCGTCCTTGCTGGCCTCCACAGTCGAATAATCAAAACGCCATAAACACAAACTTTTGGCGCTCCGCGCGGATTTCTTGGATTCGCGCTGGGCCCCCCCGGCGGCGCCTCTGGCGACGCCCCTGGCGCGCTCCTCGCGCCATGGAGGGGGGTTCAGCGCGGATCCAAGAAGTCCGTGCGGAGCGCCAAAAGTTTATGCCAATGGCGTTTTTTCTTCTTCTACACGGGCCCCGCGAGTAGCCCAGGGCGGTCTCAACACCCCAACAATGGAGCGCGGAACGCCCCAAGGGGTGCCGCTGGAGGCGGCCCCAGGTCGTTGAACCCGCCCAGGACCACTCGGGGGGCCTGTTGAGGTCAGCCCGGCCCAGCCTACTCGGATGGCCTGTTGAGGCCAGCCGGGACTACCTGGGGGGGAGGCTGTCCCTGCACAGCCCGAAGTATTACCAATGCGATTCGCCCGCGAGGCGGCCTCGACGTACAGCATCGGCGCGCTCCGTCACCAAACATCGGGCGGCACTGGCCTCATGCTCTGGGGGTACCGTCCCCTGTACGTGGATCTGGCGCCAGCGCCAGGTCCACGGATCCCTCATCCACGTCGGCGCGTGCCCGAGCTGCAGCCGGCGAGAGCGGCCCCTGAGACCACTTTTGGATCCACCGAAGGGATACCACATGTTACCCCCTCTGCCCCCCCCGCGATGGGTTGAATCCCCGGAGGAACGGTTCAATCCCCGGCTGAGCGGTTCAATCCCTTGAAGTCGTCCGGGGATTGATTTCTTCTGGGTGGCCGACGCCTCACATCTTTCAGCAGTTGCTTTACAACTGTTTTTAGCCGTGGCTCATCTTACATTCTGCAATCCAGGAGTCACCTTCATGGCGGCGCATGAGTTTCCTGAGCAATTTCATCAGGGGATTGAATCGTTCGCTTCTTTTGCGGGATCGGCCGTTGTAGTGGATGTTGTAGTAGGAACTGCAATGTGAGCTGGGGCAGTAACTGCATTGGTAGATGTAGTGGCATCCGTAGTGGTAGCTGCAGTGGTAGCTATATTGGTAGTTGTACTGGAAGCTGCAGTGGTAGATATAGTGGTAGCTGTAGTGGTACATGAACTGGTATCTGTTGTGGTAGTTGTAGCGGTAGCTGAAATGGTACCTGTATTGGTCGCTGTCACGGTAGCGGAACTGGTACTTGTCGTGGTAGTTGTAGTGGTATTTGCACTGGCATTTGAGTGGTAACAAGTGATACTTGCCATGGTAGATGTACTACGAGCTATACTGAAGCTGTAGTGTCACCTGCAATGGTGGCCGTACGGGTACCTGTGTTGGTAGCAGCACTGAGAGCTGTATTTGTAGCTGTCGTGGTGGCTGTAATGGTAGCAGGCGTGGTAGCTGTAGCGGTACTGGTAGCTGTCGTTGTAGCTCTATTGGGGGCTGTGTTGATAGTTTTACTGGGAGCTGCATTGTTACCCGTGGCGGTAGCTGTGCTTGGAGCGGTAGTTTTACGGGGAGGTGTATTGGTATCTGTGCTGGTAGCTGTGCTTACCAGCGAATTGCAAGTCATCGCTGTGCTTACCAACATGCCCAAGAAGGCTTCCAACAGGCCCGAGGCGGTTTCCAGGACGCCCAAGACGGCCTCCGGGAGGCCCAAGAAGGCCTCCAGGACGGCCAAGAAAGCTTCCAACAGGCCCAAGAGGGCTTCCAGGACGCACAAAAGGGCCTCCAGGACGTTCGTGAAGGGCCTCCAAGACGCAAAAGAGCGCCTCCAGGACGCCTAAGAGGGCCACCAGGAGGCCCGAGAAGGACGCCTAAGAAAGCTTCCAGGACGCCCAAGAGGGCCTCCAGGACGCCCAAGTGGGCATCCAGGACGTTCAAAAAGGCCTCCAGGACGTTCAAGAAAGCTTCCAACAGGCCCAAGAGGGCCTCCAGGACGCCCAAGAAGGGCCTCCAGGACGCCCAAGAGGGCCTCCAGGACGCCCAGGAAGTTTCCAACAAGGCCGAGAGGGCCCTCCAACAGGGCCGAGAGGGCTTCCAACAGGGCCAAGAGGGCCTCCAACAGGGCCAAGGGGGCCTCCAACAGGGTCAAGAGGGCCTCCAACAGGGCCAAGAGGGCTTCCAACAGGGCCAAGAAGGCCTCCTCCGCCTCCTCCAACAGGGCCAAAAGGACCCCCAGGACGCCCAAGAAGGACTCGGGCAGGGCCCCCAGAAGATTTTCCAGGCGGAAAGGAAGGATAGTTTGACTTTTCACACATATATATATATAAAACTGGAAAAATGTCCAGGGATTGAACCCATTTCCCGGAAATTGAACCATTGTACCGGGGATTAACTTCTTCTCTGCCCCTGCCCCCCTGCCCCCCCCCCCCCGTAACGGTAATTAATGCCCTGGCCCGGTCCAGTGCGCGATATTGGGCGGCCTGGGGCCTCCGCGGTGCACGCGGGCGTGCACTATTGTGAACGCAGGGCACTGCGGTGTACACCGGCGTTGTGGCGCACACAACTGCCGTTACAGCAGCAGCTGTGGTGCATACAGGCAGAATGGGTGTACGCAAGCAATACTGCGTACTCATCAGAAGCCTTGTGGTGCACACAGGCGCCGTGATGTACGCAATCGCTGTGGTGCGCAAAGTCGCCATACTGTAAGCATGCATTGTGGGACATGATATACCCACGCATATTTTCCTACCACTTCCTCCTCCGCCCTCTTCAGTTTCGTTATCCTCGTCGTCGCCCTCCTTGCGCATACACTACGTGGGCATTGTGGTGTACACAAGTATTGTGGTGCACGCAGGCCTTGTGGTGCACACAGGCGTTGTGTTTCACATTCGCTGTAGGCTCAAAATGTCCGAGCGTTCCTCGGGCCAGAAAAATCAAGAATCACAATCACATCCCGTATCGAATATGATACATTCGGGCCCCCAGCGATTTCCAGGGCTTTGGCTCCGTCCAAGCCGTAGAGGTGTACATGCTGTTAGATGATGGCGCGCATCTTGGCCGTGCCATTGGAAAAAGAGCGCGGGCCCCGAGCTGTCGACCGCATCGCGGGATTCCTTGTACTCGTCCTGCTCATCCTGCTGGTGCTGCTGGTCCTCTTGTTTCCCCTGCGTGTATTCCCTCGGCTGACGCAGTTCCGCGTGTCCCCAAGCCGCGTGGTGTTCATGGGCGCCGTCGTGCGCGCAGTTCCGATGACGTGCACAGTCGCTATGGCGCGCACAGGCGTGGTGGCCCCGAAATATCAGAGCGTTCTCCCCTGCCCCCCCCCCCCAGGGTAACATGTGCTATCCCCCAGGATGGAAACAAATGGTCGCCCTCCCGCCCTCGAGGCGGCCTCGTCGGTGCTGGCGCTGCCCCCCGACCCCGAGCAGCTCCACAGGCTGCTGCTGCAGGCCCCGCCCCACGGGGAGCTCGCCGCCGGGCCGGCGAAGACGTGTTTCTCTTGGCACCGCTCGTGCGCGCGCAGGTATCTCGGCGAGCCCAGCGCCCGAAAGTCAGGCCCAGCTGGGAGCGTGCCGGGTCATCCTGAGAGCCAAGAATAACCACGCAAGAAATCAGGCAGCGCATGGGGAATGGGCGCTGGAGCTCAAGAGCGAAGTTCGGAGGCCAGGCCAATGTGGACTATGCGTTCTGCCACACGAAACTCGGGCGCTTTCACACATATTTGGGTATTTTTCAAGGTATCTTGACAGTCTGAAGGTATCTTGGATGACAGCCAATCGACCGGAATTACCCTGGCGAAGGACTCAACCATGAGTACTGTCGCTGTCAACATCGCCTTCGGTGGATCTCCTCATGGGGCCTTGGGTGGAGCTGCCTGTAGGGCCAGGAAACGTGGGAAACATGTGAGGGGATGGGCGGGAGGCGGACGCATGCGAGGGTGGCACTGCGACATTGGGTGGAGTTCCATGTGGGGCCATGAACCGTGTGAGGGGTGTGCCGAAATAGGTGGGGAACCAAATGCACACGTCGCCACTGGAGCCTTCGGTGGAGCCCCCCCCACGGGGGCACTGAACGTATAAGGGGTGTGCCGTAATGAGTTGCGGGGGCACTTGCGGAGGTGGTGCGTGAGCTTTCGGTGAGGCTCCTTCTGGGGCCGTGAAACGTGCGAGGGGTGTGCCAACATGGGTGGCGAGGGCGCACGCGGACGGCACCACGTGGGGCCTTGGGTGGAGTTCCTTATGAGGTGCGCGTGAGGGGTGTGCCGAAATCGGTGGCGGTGACGCATGCGAACGGCGCCATTGACGTCTTGGGTGGAACTCCTTATGAGGCCACGAAACGTGCGACGTGTCGAAATTAGTGACGGGGACGCATGCGGACGGAACCATTGATGGGGCCACGAAGCGTGCGAGCGGTGTGCCAAAATGTGTGCGCGGACCCATGCGGACGGCACCATGTGGGCCTCGGAGCTCCCTATGGGGCCACGAAGCGTGTGATGGGTATGCCGAAATGGGCTTCGGGGGCGCATGCGGACGGCACCATTGAGGCCTTCTGTGGAGCTCCCAATGGGGCCACAAAACGTGCGATGGGTGTGCCAACATGAATGGCGGGGACACATGCGGACGCCACCATTTGGGCATTGCGTGAAGCTCCTTATGGGGCCACGAGGCGTGCGAGGGGTAATCTGACACGTGTGCTGGGGACGCATGCGGGTGGCACGATTTGGGCCTCGGGTGAAGCTCCACCTGAGGCCACGAAGCAGGTGAGGGGATTGCCGACATGGGTTGCGGTGACGCATGCGTGCGGCACCATTTGAGCCTTGGGTGGGGCTCCCCATGGCGCCACGAAGCGTGTGAGGGGCGTGCGGACACGAATGGCATGGGTGCATGCGGACCTCACCATTTGGGTGTTGGGTGGAGCTCCCTGTGTAGCCACGGAGCGAGTGAGGGGTGTGTCGACATTGGTGGTGGGGACGCATGCGGGCGGCACAGTTTAAACGTTAGGTGGAGCTCCCTATGGGGCCACGAAACATGTGAGGAGTGTGCGGGCATGTGTGGCGGGACGCATGCGGGCGACACCATAAGAGCCTTGAGTAAAGCTCCCAATGGGCTGTGCCGAAATGTGTGGCGCGGACCCATGCGGACGGCACCAGTTGGGCTTCGGGTGGAGCTTCCTATGGGGCCACGAAGCGTGCGAGGGGTATGCCGAAATGGGATGCGGGGGCGCATGCGGACGGCACCATTGGGGCCTTCGGTGGAGCTCCCAATGGGGCCACAAAACGTGCGATGGGTGTGCCAACATGAATGGCGGGGACACATGCGGACGCCACCATTTGGGCATTGCGTGAAGCTCCCTATGGGGCCACGAGGCGTGCGAGGGGTAATCTGACACGTGTGCTGGGGAAGCATGCGGGTGGCACGATTTGGGCATAGGGTGGAGCTCCACCTGAGGCCACGAAGCACGTGAGGGGATTGCCGACATGGGCTACGGTGACGCAGGCGGGCGGCACCATTTGAGCCTTGGGTGGGGCTCCCCATGGCGCCACGAAGCGTGCGAGGGGTGGGCGGAGTGGCTGGCAGGGACGCATGCGGGCGGCACCATACGGGATTTTGGTGGGGCTCCTGACGGGGCCACGAAGAGTGCGAAGGCTGTGGCGACATTAATTACGGGAACGCATGCAGTGCTGGTGTATGTCCTTCCGCCGCCCACCACTGTAATACGCAGTGGCTGCGTTCCGGCGCGGGTGCATTCAGCGCGGAATTGTCTTCGCATGTTTTTCCATGGCTTGTGTAAGTTGTCATGTTCTGCCGATGCGCCGTCTAGGCGCGGTCTTTTCCTGTCCATGCGGGCGACACCATTTGGGTTTTGGGTGGAGTTCCCTATGGGGCCACGAAGCTTGTGAGGGGTGTGCCAACATTGACGGCGGGGACGCGACGCATGCGGGCGGCACCATTTGGGCATTGGGTGGAGCTCCCTATGGGGTCACGAGAGGTGTGAGGGGTGTGGCGGATCGGTTGGCTGGTTCGGAGGGCAGATTACCCAGCACCGCAGGATGATCGGGAAGAAGCATGAGCCCTCGAGCATGGCCCATGGAGTTCCAGTCCATTGCCGGCAGTCGTGGGGTCGGAATGTCGAAGACAATGCTATGAGGGGAACCCTCTCTTCCTCCCGCCTTACGCTCGCAGTAGAGGGGGTCCCCGCATGAAGGTTCCGTGTAGCAAGGGTTCTGTACGATTATTTCTTGTCGCAAGGACTCCTGAAAAATGCTGCTTTCTGTAAGGGGTCCTGGGAAAGGGGTCCTTTTTCTGAGGAGTCCGCAAGGGGGAGGGCATGGGAGAGGGCCCTAGCTGCTGACTCAAACAGACCACAGCACAGAGGGGGAAAGTGGCAGGAGGAAGTGGTTGCACTCTTTCTTTATTTCGTCCTCTCTCTCTCTCTCTCTCTTTCTCTCTCCCCCTCTCTCTCTTTCTCTTATTTCTCTCTCACACACACAAGGCCCAGACAATGGAGCACCGATGGGGCGCCATGCGAACGCCTCCACTGAGGCTATTGCTGGAGGTCCTTAGTGAAAATGCCCGTACCAAGGATCTTTAGCAAGCATCTCTTTTAATGATGGTTCCGCAGTAAGGACTTTTATAGTAAACATTCATTGGTTACGGATGCCTGCGTGCAGGAATTATGAGCAAGGATTCTCGAATGAGGAATCCGTAGTAAGGGCGCCTTCGCTAAGCAGCCATCAGTAAGGATGTCCTTGCCGAGCCTCTGTAAAGATCTCGAGTGATGATGCGTTTCCCTCATTGCGGATCCTTGTAGCAAATGTTCATTGCCCATGTTGCCTGTCGTAAGCTCGCATACTTATTAAGGATACCTTTAGCCAGCGGCCCGTAGGAAGGATTGGTTTAGCACGGGTCCTGGTTAAAGGGCCGTCTGGGACGGAACCCGTAGAACGGAGGAAATGGGAGGGGAGGCGCTCCCTTACACAGCCCGCAACGCAGAGGGGGGAAGTGGCAGGAGGAAATGGTTCCTCTCCCTCTCTCTCTCTCTCTTTTTCTCGCTCGCGCGTTATTTGTTCGTTCTCTCTCTATCGCTCTCTCTCGCTCTCTCTCTCTCTCTCTCTATCGCTCTCTCTTTTTTTTTGTTTCCTCTCTCTCTCTCTCTCTCTTTTCCAACCCACCCTTGAGAGTCCTCTCGTTCCCTTCATTCCCATCTTGCTTGTGTGTCATCCTACGCTCGCGCCTCGCTGCCATTTCTGTCCAGGCCTTCTGGGGTGAGACGGGCCCACGGTGTGCTCACAGCCCGTCCTCACGGCACTTCGGTATCACGATACCGACCAGTGGCCAGCGATGCTCGCTCTCTCTGAGAAGAAGGGTGGCCCGCAGAACGGGACTCTCTCACAGCTTGTGTCTAGCCGGCTTGGGCTTCCGGAGCAACGGAAGCGCAAGGATCACGCACCAGTTTCTGGATCGCGCTCATACCGTCCCGAGGCGCAGCAGCACCCTTCCCTACTTCCTCCCCGAGATCCCCTTGAGATGCCTCCGACGTTTCTGACAGTTATCAGTGTTTTCGAGATCTACACCCTCGTGGAGAAGTTCCACCATCGTCCAGAACGATGGGTTCAAGCAGTGTCCCAGGCTTCGGTACCTCATTATCAGGTATTCGGACCCCCGCTCTGGGACATGGAGATGGCTTGGAGGAGGTTCCAGGCGGAGATCCAAGCTCGAGATGCACAGACGGAGAGATGGCTCCTCTCGGCAGCGAGCATCAGGATGCTCGCGGGACGCACAGCAGAGTCGGAAGACGACGCCAGCAGCAGCATGGAAAGTCATCGCAGCGCGGGCTGGATTCATTCTTCGAGATTGGACCCATGGCGGACGACGAGGCGGAGGACATGGAGCTCAACAGACTCCTGATTCCCCTCCCGCATGACCAGTCTCGTGCCCATGGACAGGCACGAGCTTTTCTTATGCATGCTCTTCGCAAGAATTCAGGCATGTCCCAAGGTGAAGTTGGAGGTGAAATTCGTTCCTGGCTATGGACACGTCGTACACACCGGCATTCCCGTGCATATATCACATCCGTCTTTGCATTCTTGACCGAGCTCATAGGCTCACAACCGACAGCGAGTAGGGCCTTTCGAGGCCCTGCGTTCTGGAGTACTGTGGGCGTTGTGCTGTTGATGTCAGGCTTGGTGCGACTACAATTCGAACTTCGATCCCTTTCCCCATCGAGATGGGCGCGACAAGTATTCCGCCTCCTTCCTCCAGAGTGGCGTCGAGGTGTTCATGACTGGTCTGAGCCCGTGGTAGTTCTCGCCTTCAAGAGCATGCTAGGACCCCCGACGGACCCCCACAAGGCCATCGTCTACATCTTAGGCTCGCACTCCTCCGTTTACGTAGGCAAGGCGATGCTGAGGTCAGGCGTTCTCTCGGGGGTCTTGGGGCGCATCCAGGAG